ACATACATACATACATACATACATACATACATACATACATACATACACACATACATGCATACATACATACATACATACATGGCTCAAGCCGCAAGTGGGTCAAGGAGGCTGCCCACAAAGACCTCCTCGCGCGGCGCTCCCAGGCGAACGTACGTCATTGGCTTGCCTTCACCAGGTGCCTGGTACTACTTCCGTGATAGAGAGGGACGCAGAGGAGGGCAACCCTTTCCTGTGACCTACCTGCGCGGCAACTTTCGGGACATCCAGTTCTTCCTGGGCACGTTCCTTGCCCTTTAGACCCACCTCGAAGACCTTCTGCCTTCTTACAGATCCTCGACTATGACAGCATCGAGGGCTATACCAGCTGGTGCAGGGCTTTCTATTCATTTGTCTCCCAGGTCTGTCATTGCTGGCGTCCGCCCTTTTCCATTGGCCATGTAGCATTTCTATTGATTTGTCTCCCAGGTCTGTCATTGCTGGTGTCCGCCCTTTTCTGTTGGCCATTCAAGTCTGTCACTGCGCTGGAAGGTCAGAGAGCGGACAGGTTGGTCATTGTGTCCGCCTTGTCTCCCTTCTGTCTCCCTTTGTGTCCGGTCTTTTCTCCCTTCTTGTGTCCGTCGTCCCTTCTTGTCTCCGGTCTTGTCCTTCCTTCTTGTTGGTCACTGTGTCCGTCTTGTCTCCCTTCTATCTCCTTTTGTCTCCCTTCTTGTCTCCCTCTTGTTGGTCATTGTGTCCGTCTTGTCTCCCTTTGTCTCCAGTCTTGTCTCCCTTCTTGTTGGTCATTGTGTCTGTCTTGTCTCCCTTCTGTCTCCAGTCTTGTCTGGCTTCTTGGCCGTTCTTGTTTGTCATTTTGTCCGTCTTGTCTCTGTTCTGTTTCCTTTTGATTCCCTTCTCGTCTCCCTTCTTGTTGGCCATTGTGTCCGTCTTGTCTCCCTTCTGTTTCCTTTTGTCTCCCTTCTTGTTGATGTTCAATAAGTGAACTTGGGAATGCTTCGTTGTTGTCCTACCTGTTTGGGGTCTACGGTGGTGTATTTTTTATTTACTTAGTTTTTTAATTGACATACATATTTACTTACTTATTCACATACTTATCTATTTACTGAATTCTTTATTTACGTACTTACTTCCTAGACTGACTCTCATGACTTTACTGAGTGTTTTGACTTTCATTTACTTTGCTTACTTTACTTGCTTTTCTTATTTTATTTACTTTTCTTATTTTACTTACTCTACTTACTTTATTTACTTACCTTACTTACCACACTTACCTTACTTACTTTACTTACTTTACTTTACTCTACTCTACTTTGCCTTACTTACTTACATACTCACTCATTTACTTGCTTGCTGGCTTACTTACTTATTTACTTACTTACATACTTTCTTTCTTTCTTTCTTTACTTACTTACTTACTTACTTACTTACTTACTTACTTACTTACTTTACTTACTAACTAACTCACTCATTTACTTGCTTGCTTGCCTGCTTGCTTGCTTCCTTACTTACTTACCTACCTACTTACTTACTTACTTACCTACTTACCTTACTTACTTACTTACTTACTCACTCATTTACTTGCTTGCTTGCTTACTTACTTACTCACTCACTTACTTACTTACCTACTTACTTACTTACCTACCTACCTACTTACTTACTGACCTACCTACCTACTCACCTTACTTACTCACTCATTTACTTGCTTGCTTGCTTGCTTGCTTGCTTACTTACTTACTTACCTACGTACTTACTTACTTACTCACTCACTTACTTGCTGACTTACTGACTTACTGACTTTCTCACTCATTTACTTGCTTGCTTACTTACTTACTTATTTACTTCCTTACCTTATAACTCACTCATTTACTTGCTTGCTTGCTTGCTTACTTACTTACTTACTCACTTACTTACTTGCTTACTTACTTACTTACTGACTTACTTCCTTACTTTCTCACTCATTTACTTGCTTGCTTACTTACTTACTTACTTTCTTACCTACTTACCTACTTACTTACTTACTTACTTACATACTTACTTACTTTCTCACTCATTTACTTGCTTGCTTGCTTGCTTACTTACTTACTTACCTACCTACTTGCTTTCTCACTTACTTTTCACTTCCTCACGTACTCACTTACCTTTTCACTTATTCCCTTACTTACTCACTTCCTTCCTTACTTGCTTGCTTGCTTGCTTCCTTTCTTTCTTCCTTCCTTCCTTCCTTCCTTCCTTCCTTCCTTCCGTCTTATTTCCTTACATTCTTACTGTCTTTTTTACTTTCTTACTTTCCTCTTGTCCTACTTTCTGTATTCGCTTATTCACTTACATATATGAATACATACATGCATACAAACATACAGACAGACAGACAGACAGACAGACAGAGAGCGACAGACGGACAGAGAGCGACAGACAGACAGAGAGCGACAGACGGGAAGGACGGACGGACGGACGGACGGACGGACAGACAGACAGACAGACAGACAGACAGACAGACAGACACACGGACAGGCACACTTATTGACACGTATACTGATGCGAATGCGGTGCCGCGCGCCGGGCCTGAGTTAAAAAGCCTGAGATATCAGGAGGACAAGTAGTGAGTTGAAGGCCATCGCTTTTAGGTTGGAGGCCATCGCAAGGAAGTTGGAGGC